ATGAGAATAAGAAAGAAAAGTATGTCTCTGTGCCCCCTTTTCCCTGTTAATGCCCTATCGGACCCCCTGGCTAAACTTTGCTAGATCAACCCCTGCACAGTTACCAGCCGTCAGCTACTTAGAAAAGGATCCTGGTGTAGAAAGTAAATAAATTCTAACAACAGCTTATCAAGCTTAAACGTGCTGCTGTTGTTCAGCCGCTGGTTTCCTCTTTCTGGCGCGAAGTGAGCAATAAACAAACAAGAGAGACGGACTCGTGACAGAAAAGCCGATCAGCTGATCATTGATCAGTTTCATGATTGAAGTAGCAACAGGAGAAAGAGGGAGAGAGAAGAGGCAGTCGCTCAATATATCAGTTGTCAAGCTTAACGCGGGAATGCTTTATAAACATCCAGAGATGAACTTACACACTTGCTTTAATTTTCTAGCGAGGCTACAAATACACACAGCCGCTCTATCACATGATGCCTACTGCTCCCACGTGCTACGGTTATGAGCCGAGTTGGGAGTTACTCCGTGTTGCAAGTTTTGTGAGGTGCTTTTTTGATATTTAATGGATCAGATTTTTTTTTTTCTCTGATATCCGATCCAGTAATTTACGTCAGTATCCGACCGATACCGATAGGTAATATCGGATCGGTCCATCTCTAGTTACAATGCATTCATATTCGCCATAGGTATTTTTATTATGAGCTAGAAAGCTGTAACCATCCAAAGCAGACTTACTTGGAGCTACAACACTGAGATAGTATTTGCACCTGCCTGTATGATATCAACCTTGATTAAACAAAAATGTGTTTTGTTCACAATGTTGCAGAAAAGGATCCTTGACCCACAATCCCAAATTGAAACAGTGATTTCTCTGATTGGTGTTAATACATATTTCGGCTAATATACTGATGGTAAACCCAGGAAATACACTAGAAACTGTCAAAACACAAATATTTTTGAAAATCTTTAAAAAAATAAACTTATTTAAAACTAAAAAATTATGTTGTTATTCATTAGGCAAATAAAAAAACGAATTCCCATTTTGAAATCCAAATTTGAGCCAGGCTACTGAAAAGTGAAATGAATCACCCATAACATTCAACCACTAAAACTAATTTTTCTGTTATAGAAAGGAAACAACTGCAATTTGTATTTGTAATTTAATCTAATCTAAAAATAATGATTTGCTTATTTTTTTCGTAAAATAGTGTTTTCCAAAGCGATTTTAAGAAAATGAACGAAAATGTGTAGATTGAGTCGAAAGGGTTCTCATGTTTTGTCATTTTTCCGATCTCGTCATTTAGGAACGTGTTGGGTACCCGAAAGCGTAAAATGTTGACGTCAAAGGAGCTTGCAAAGAAAAGCGTCTGGACTTCTTTAAGTTGCTTGAAGACGTTAAAGAAGTCCAGACGCTTTTCTTTGCAAGCTCCTTTGACTACGATGACCTGGATGACTGAGAACCTTCACAGACATAAAATGTTGACGATTTGTCACCTAGCGTAAAATATTATGCTTAGGGAGTGAGAACGTGTTGAAATAAAGCCTAACAGTGCTGCTAGCATTGATGTAGACTGGTCTTCTTTCTTTGCCTCTCATTCAGTTTATTCCGTTATGAAGTTATAAGCTTTAAGAGTTGGCTCTTTGTCTGTCAGTCAGTGAGATTATGCTGAGATTATTAGTCCTGAGCAAAATTTGTTAAATTTGTTGCAAAGAAGGAGCCTATAGGCAAAGGAAGAGCAAAGTAAAGTAAATCTGTGTCCTCAGGCCACAAGAACTACATTTCAGAATGAAAAACTACAATCACACAGTTCACAGTATGTGTGTAAGTCTATGACACGATGCTGCTCAACAAGCTGTAACCACTGCCTTGTGCCCTGCAGGGTTAGCTCTGCCATGGATGGAAAATGAATTAGCGAGAATTAGCAAGATATACTCCCCTTTCCATTACCCAAGCAGACAACTGACTCCGAGAGGGATTGTGGTTTGAACTGAGGGAAAAGAGGGAAAAAAAACAAGTCTTTATTGGAGCAAATGACTGCTGACGGACAGACCACATACTGCAGAGAACTTGGCCAAATGTCCTCAAAGGCAGTTTCAGAGAAAGATTTACTGTTGCATCATATATAAAGAGAAATATGGCTTGTAAAATAAGTTTGTAATTTACTTCAAATATTTTGTTAAAAAGAAAATGAGTAGTTAATCATTAGCTCACACAAATAGACCATTCGGGCTTGCCTGCCGCAGGGTATTAATTTTCCTCCCATTTAGATGAAGCTGCTTTCTGCTGGAAAGTACAGCTTGAGGTTTTTTGCCGAGAGGCAGGTTCTCCTTCAAGCAAGAATCGTGCTAAAGAAAAAGTGTAACGTGTTCTCTGAAGTTTCATTCTGATGAAATAATCTGTATTTTCCCAGTCTGGTCCGCAATCTTAACCAGCCAAAATCATTATCCTTTGGCTTTTTACACTTCAAACACATAGATTTTACAATGTGGACTTTGTCAGTTAAAGAACAACTGAAACAACACAAAGCAGATGGAAGTGTTTAAAGTGGGTTAGTTGACCTAAAGGTCTCATACAGCTGGCATCCTTCCCCAAATTATATCCATTATGTAACTGCGGTTTGTGGTGAGGGGAGCTGCAAGGTAAGCTGAGGCTGCACTGGCCAATTAAAACAGTATAGTCATGAAACAGTAACCTATGAGCGTATGAATTGAGACCAGTCAATCCAGATGCCCACAGGCTCTTGATAACCTAAGTTATTCAGTAATACAATAGCAGATTAGTCTAATAGAATCAGTTTACATCTATTTGATAGCTGGCCTTGGTATTTTTAAGCAGTAGAAATAAATAAATAGTGTGGATGAGCATTAGACAACAAGCATTAGTTTGCACTTTATCTTGTTTTCAGAGGCAAAACACAGGCAGCAGTAACAGTTACTATAATAGCTAAACTCTATTCTCTATTTGGGGTGAAAGAAGAAAAACACTTAATGTGTAACATGTTCAATTTTAAAATACACTGTGTTATTTGAACCTTTAAACACAAACAGCTGTTGTTGTGAACTAGCATGGTGCTAGCATGATGCTTTATACTTTTAGGTAAAGTCCCTCTGATATGATGTTATATAGTTTCTTTCAGTTTGGCACATTTCATAGCATTTTTTTCTCGGCTACAGGCAGCCAAAAAAAACAAATACACACATAATGTAAAAGGCTGTGAGTGGTTTAGTTTCTTTTTTTGTTTCAGACACCCACATACAATCGACCTTTCAGACAGCAGAGCCTTTGGTGGAAGTCTGGGCTGAGGACTAAGTTTATTGTGTACACACTGTGGCCCCCATACAACCGTCATAGTTAACATTTAACTGACAGGCACCACCACAATTGAGAGTGTTATTTTCGTACGTTCTTGTGTGTGTGTGTGTGTGTGTGTGTGTGTGTGTGTGTGTGTGTGTTTCATGTATTATTGATGTCGGGGACCTAAATCTCTTACGGGGACATTTCTTCTTTTGGGGGGACGTGTAGAGTAAAGAATTGGTGGAACAGGTGTTTGATCTTCGGTGATGTTACACATCTATACGGCCTTTCAAAACCACAGAGTTGTTATTAATTGATCCTGTGTAATTTGGGTCATCTTTTAAAAAACAAATTACAAATAGACCCACCATACTACTGCAACAACAAGAGGGGACCAGCCACGACCTTATTTAAAGGTTAGTTCAAGGCATTCTCACACTGTCCTGGCTCAGAGGAAAACATCTTTAGAAAGATTAAATGAAATAACGACTTTTAAGAGGCATTAACATTTCTGTAACATTTCTGGATTTCTGTTCAAACGATTTTTTTATACTTTGTTTCCAAGGAGCCCGACTTTCTTGCCATTTCCTATGCTGGTCTTGAGCAACAGTTCACGTTTTCTGAAAGTCTTTCAAAGTTTTTCTTTGTGTCTGTTTGTTTGTTTGTTTGTTTAAGTCACTTAACACTGACTTATAAATCTTTCAAGCACAGACAAAAAATACACCAAATTATATCTTTAGGCACTTTGCTAATAGTTTCCAGTGAAAAGACATTTATTTACATTTCTTTAGTTTTCTAAAATTTTCTTTTGCATTTTCTTCTTAAAATGAGAGGCATATAATGGTGTTTTATGTACCAGCAAGGTGATTTTCAAAGAGCTATTAGCTGAAAGCTTAGCAGATCTCAGCATGGTGTGCAGGCTGTCCTTTAAAATTTTAAACTGGACAAGTGGAAGACTAAAAGAACATGTGACAGGCCTGACAAACTATCTACAGCAGATTAATGACCTTAAGAAATAGGAAAAAATCCATCAAAGACCTGACACAGCATCTGACAGATGGATCTGGACTTTCAGATGATCTATTTACTGTTCACTGAAGCCTCAGAAATGGTCTCAGTGAAAGGGTGTCTGTGAAGAAGCTTAAAAACATACCTGGATAGAAAAACACATAATAGAAAGGTATCAGTCGAGGATTGGTGACTAAGAACCAAATAAATCCAAAGATCTTTGAATGTTCTTCAAGAAGCTGGGAGAACTATTGCTGAAGACTACTTAAAGAATTGTTTGGGGATTTCAGACTGTGCTGATGAATAAAGGCAGTCATTTCATTCAACTTTGTTAGAATTGTAAAATCTCTGTATTTTCCCGTTTGCACAGGTTTTCACAGTCCTGTACGCTAGCTTCAAACATCACATCTACATAATTTATAGATGTATTATATATAGATTTAGCAACAATTATGATTTTTGTGTTATTCTGTGAATGAATGCTGTTGTATCATCCCAAGTGACGATAACACTTACATACTAATCTTTAAAATTTGAATAAAGCATAAGTTCCAAACAGACTTTCAACAGTCCCTGAGAGGAGAAAACTACATTCTGTAGAAAGATGTTGATTCAGCTAACGTGGTAATCATTAATCTGATATCAGACAGAGTATAAAGCTCTGGATCTTCACTCAGGAACTCTTCATCCCGTCACAGAGCGAGGTATGAGAATAACACGAATTGTTTTCGTGTTTGCCCTGGCTGCTGCTTGTGTTCCTGCCCTCTGTGGCGAAGAGGAACCTCCGGTCCTCCACCTCGAGGCTCCTGCTGAAAGTCAGTCCCGCTTTGTTGCTTTGGATGACGTGTATCTCCCGGCAAATGGCCTCCTCCAAATGGGTCAGAGCCTGCGGCAGTTTGCACAGAAAACAAAGGGACAGATAAATGATATCTTCCAAAAACTCAACATTTTCAATCGCTCTTTCAGCCAGCTGTCAGTGCTGGCCAGCGAAATCAAGGTGACAGAAGAAGAACTGAAGAGTACTGCTACTGTGTTAATGGCCAACAATGAAGAACTCAGGGGCTTTTCTGAAGAGATCAGCTCCAAGATGAACAGCATCCTGCAAGAGAAAAGTCAACTGCAGAATAAAGTGGAGGGCCTCGAGGAGAAGCTGAGCAGTCTGTCACTTGGCCTTGTGCCGAGTGAACGAGCAGCAGAGATCAATAGCCTTAGGGTGAGTAACCCGTTGTTAGAAAGAAAACCTGCACTTGATGTTTCTGTCCTTTGCTGAGGTAAAAAAAAAAAAAGATCACTGCAACAGTATTGTGCAACAATAAACTCTAAAATAAATCAGACAACCTTTATGCTTTTTGGCTACTACAATAATCTTTGTTTTCCATCTATTCTCTCAGTGTTTGAATGCTGTTATACAAGCTCACAATACTATATTATTATTAACAATCATTCTTTTTTTTCAACATTCATCCCTGATCAGGAGGTGATCCAGAGCCAGGAGCAAAGCATTACACAGCTGCTGAAGGCCGTGAGGGAACTAAGTGACCAGCTCATCTACCAGAGGACAAAGATCAATATTCTAGAGGAAAAGGTAAATAATAGAGACCTCAGTAAAAATGATTGGCATCTTATGATTGTTTTGTTTGGTGGTGACTCTTCATCCATAACAAATGTGCATAACGCTGGGAAGGGTTTAGCTAACTAAGAAAATAAAATGCATGATTCACCTCCTGTCGTCACTTCAGTCAGAGTGAATACAGAGTGAATTCCACTCAAATGCAACTTTAGTTGTAATCATCTCCAAGTACCTGGCAAAAGCATCTCTAAAGCAGCAGAAGATCACACTGGGGGGTCTACCCTGTTAGCTAAGAACAGGAAATGGAGTCTACAATTCAACAAACTCACCAAAATTGGACAATAGAAGATCAGAAAAAGGTTGCCAGTTCTGATGAGTCTCGATTTCAGCTGCTGAAAGCAGCGTGAAGCTCATGAGAGCATGGATCCATCCTGCCTTGGGTTAATGGTTAGATATGGTGGTGGTGTAATGATGTGGGGGATGTTTTCTTGGCACACTTGGGGTGTTTTGTACTGACTGAGCATTGTTTGACTGTCACAGCCTAAGTATTGTTTCTGACCATGTCCATGAATTATACTGTGATATGTGCGCACATACAAGCATGTGCAGCCTCCAGTCTCCAAATCTAAATCTTACTGAGATGCTGATCATCTGAGCCAGTGCTGTAGTGCTTTATACATTTCACTGAAAAAGCTTTTGAAGATTTCTACATAGAGTCAGTGAGAAGATTTTTTTCTGCAAGCCAAAGGTTTTTCTGACAATTTTCCACAGCTGACAGCCAACATGTTAGCTAGCCCAGGAGACCATTGAGAAGATGCCAGAAACCTTCAGCGCTGAAGCTCCAACACTCACCCCTTACCTGACCTCAGGCTCTACCAGCAGGACCAAAACAATCAATAATATGGATAATGAAGCTTAAGGTGATGTTGTGAGCGACTTAATGGTTTGATATCTGTAATGTGTTATTAAAAACCTGAAATATTCAATCAGACCTCGAATGCTCATCATTTACAAGCGTGTCCAGGATATTTCCTGTGGTTTTCAGCATGTCATTAATACAGTTTCATGAGAGAACTGTGCAAATAAGGGCTAAATGAATGCGATTGATAAATATAGACTCCGCTACTAACAATTACAAAAAAGAATAAGACCTCTAAAGATAGTTATTTATCAGTAACGGGTTATTGGTTAATTTAACACATACAGTATGAAATTGTCACCAGTCACAATATCACCACATTGTTTGATTTGTACATCCCAAATTTGTGTAATACTGTATACAAGGCAAAGAAAAGCCAAAAATCCTGTCTGGGAGGTGTGAGGCATTAAGTAGTGCAAACTAATTATTGTTTGATGAAGTACTCGATGAATCAGGGGAGCTCTACTTCAGAAAAACAAAATAGCGCTCCGTCATTACCGAAGGATCATTACTCATTTATTAATGAGTGGTGACCAGCCAAAAAAGGTTTTAAAAACCGTGCAAATATAAAAGCTATAAATTTAAATCCCCTCTTCTCTATGTTTTCAACTTAGACCATGGAGCAAGAGAAAGGATGGTTCAGTAAATTTTGATCAGTAAAAGTATGAAAATGGTTTTGGAGATTATGGAGGTGAGATTTTACAGAGAAAATAAATTCTCAAATTCCACATTTGATTCTTATCATCATTACTATCATTATCATGTAATTTTATAATCTCTGTGACTAACACAGGGTGCCTGCACCCCTGTGAGCATCTTTGTCTGCGTCACTTTTCATGTTTACTTGTTAAACCATGTTGGCTCTGAGCCTCCAAATCTCTCTCTCGTGCACACAGAGGAGTTCTGGCTTTGTCTCAGGAGGATTCAGTCTCTATCCTCTTCAGGCAACTCTGTCCTTCACATAGATCTGGAGGACTTGAGACAGAACAGATGCTTCATCGAATACAGATTTTTACCTTGATGGGCCAACAAGCAACTACACCATTCACCTCACGCACGTGTCTGGAAATCTGCCTGACCCATGAACAACCTCACAGGCGTGATGTTTTCCACAAAGTATAGGAACCATAACAACCATCAGGACACCAGCTGTGCCCACCAGAAAACCAGTTGGTTACAGCAGATGCACATGTAATACCCATGTTTTATTCCCATGGGATTTGCATCCCATGTGAATAAACTGAATGAGATAATAGGAATAATGAATGCTTGTTGTCTGCTATTGTCTTCACAGTATGCGCTTTCTATCATTTTCTAAGTGGATGCTGGTTCAGCACCTGTGGAGACACTAACCTGAATGTGAGATATCTTCACATGAAACTAAAGGAGTGGACTGAATGTAGGAGAGGGATCCAGGGGATGTCAGGTAAGAAGTGTCTTCTTTCAAATTGACCCAGATCTCCATCTATCATGTGGCACCTCCCAAAAATTGACTTCCCCTGAATCAGACGTCCTTCCTCCATGTGACAAATAAAGAACCTTGAACTTGAACTGAACTTGAACTTCTCTGATCTGATCCATTTCTATAACAGGGTCATGTCTGTTCTTAATTCAGTGCCATCTGAGGTGCTGACAATCACGGCATCCAATACTGATTTTTGTCATTGGCAGCAGCGATTCCTCCAGGTTTCCCCAAATCCCTTGATTTTCTCATTTACTGCAGATGGTGAGAGTCTTCACAGTTTCCACAATTTGTCACAGAGTTTTACCCAGTGTGTTACTGACCTGTCACTAATTAACATAATTAGTTGCAAAATGTTCCTCCAGCTGTTTCTTTCCGATACCACATATGCTTACAGCTTTTTCCTGCCCCGTTCCCAACTTTTTTAGAAATGTTGCTTCCATTAAATTCAAAATGAGCTCATGTATTACTTAAAATTATACATTTACTCCATATGCATACTTGATATGATTTTATTTGTGAATAAAATGGGGTTTAAGAGATTTGCAAATAATTACATTCTGTTTTTATTTATATGTTACAAGGATCAGATCATAGAGAAGAAACAGTCACATATGAACAGTTTTTATATTGGGTCACATTTACTCACTGACCCCTGACAATTTGGGAAGGATCCCTTGACTGGATCATGACATAGAAAGGAAAAAGTTGGATGCATATATGAGGCTCCACAATCTCTTCTTGAATTGTTTCTATATGTTTTTCATGCTGACCTTTTTTATGTAACAAGAGCAGCATCTAAAAGTGTCAGCTTTTGTTGTGATTAATAGGTTCCTTGTTTGATATATTTGTTATTATCACAAAAATCAAATAACTGTTATAGAAGACTTTAAAAACTGGAATTTATTCACTTCTGAAATGCTAAACGCATAAATTTTTGTCACTGCTGTTGTCAGAATTGTAATGGATTAAAACTGTGTTGGATAAAAATTGAGAGCTTAATTTTGCTTTATATATAAGAGTCGTTACAGATGAAGTACAATTGTTGGAGGAAATCCATATAATTTAACAACAGGCATCATTTTGTGGAGTTGTAAGGAAGAAAAGTTCTGACATTTTGACTGGTGGGATATATAAATATAAACAGGCAAACCAAACACTAACATGAATTTGTATCAACTTACAGGAAATGGGTACACGAAGCTTTTATGGAAGGAAAGAATGTGTTTACATGTGACACATTACAGTGAGAACAATGAACTGGATGAGAGCGAGCATGAGTAAGAGTATCCTGGAATCAGGTCTGAGGACAAATGAGGAGATCCGAGGTTAGCTGAGGGTCATACATATATAATGTGCGTGTGTAGTAAATGAAGTGTGTTCAGGTGCTTGGAGAGGATGTTATGCAGTGAGATGTAAGGTACCAGGATGCAATGATACTCTAAAAGTCAAATAATATAAATATCATATCCAACTCTGTTTCATAAGCTTCTCATACAGGACATTCAGTGTCACACACACTGAAACTCTTAACCATATGATTGCCTGATTTTGTTGCATGAGTCTGAGAAAACGGTAACATTTTGGTACCTTTATAGCACACTGTTACCCTGACGCAACAAACTAATTTCTGGTAAGGGGTGGGAGGAGGGGCCAATTTGTTTGATATATCAACAAAGACCTCAAGCTCCCATAAAGTAAGGTGAATTTTTTATGTCTCCCATTAAACAAATAAATAATTAAATCCATGCTGTAGTGGTTTTAATATTTAATGTATTTTTTTGCATTGTTTTAAGTAAGTACATTTTAAATAACTTCAAAATAAATACATTTTAGTTGGATTTTCACATTTTTTCAGTAACAAAAAAATAAAACAGAACCCAAATTTATGCAGACAAAACAAATAAATGTCCATCCATCCGCTTATCCTTTTCAGGGTCGCGGGGGGCGCTGGAGCCTATCCCAGCTGTCATAGGGTGAAAGGCGGGGTACACCCTGGACAGGTCGCCAGTCTGTCGCAGGGCTAACACACAGGGACAGACAACCATTCACACTCACTCGCACATTCACACCTAGTGACAATTTGGATTAATCAATTAACCTATCCCCACAAGCTGCATGTCTTTGGACGGTGGGAGGAAGCCGGAGTACCCGGAGGGAACCCACGCAAACACGAGGAGAACATGCAAACTCCACACAGAAAGACCCCGACCTGATGGTGGAATCGAACTCAGGACCTTCTTGCTGTGCGGCAACAGTGCTAACCACCGTGCCACCGTGCTGCCACCAAATGCCACCATAAATGTTTATTTATTTATTTATTTCACATGGCACACTGACTTTTGAACAAATATTTCAAAAGGCTGAACTTTTTTTCTACTGATTGGTTAGGAGGGCTCAGTAAACTCCAGAGGGCAGTCTTGTTCCATCGCGTGCAGATGACTTCACTGAGATTTGATTGCACCATGAAGTATGTCTAATGTGAAAACTGATACTTCCTTAAAAACTCACATGTGTGTTCCCGATTACACTCTGACTGCTTGTCCCACGGTTTGCTTCCACAAACAGCATTAAAAACGAGAAATATCCTCCCCTGAGATAGTGTGAGACATGACTTTGATGACAGAGGTCATACTTCTTTTATGCATAATGAGTCTAATCACAGCTGCAGGACTAAACAAATAGACAAACCATTCACACGACAACCACACCTAAACACACACACACACACACACACACACACACACACACACACACACACACACACACACACACACACTTCTTTGTGTTTTGCCATGCAGACTTGACAGTGATCTCCCTGCACATGTGTGAAGCAGCTTCTTCAGTTACTCTGCCTGCCTCTGCACACACATTAGTTTGGAAGGTTATTTTAGGCTGCACAAGCACCCTCTGCTTCCAGTGAAATAATAGGAGGAGTCAAACTCTTGCCTTTCCATTCTGCTCCTTCGTACCATTCCTCATGTCAGCTGACAGGGGATTTCCCTCTAAATAACAAGTTCCCCTTCGCTGTCTGTGCTGCAGCATTAAGTTAGACCTTTATTTTGAAACAATGGACAACAGCCCTCTGCAGGTCTTGACTGTCCCTACAGCCCCCTACCCAGACCAGCGACCCAGCACCAACGGCCTGAGGAAAAAGGTCTATGTGTTCCAGTCCAGAAGGAACTACCTTCACAACTTCATCCAGAGTGTCTTCTCTTCCATTGACCTGCGCGATCGCCAGGGTTCAACCATGGTGGTGGGGGGAGACGGACGCTTCTTCAATCGAACGGCTACTCAGGTCATTGTGCAGATGGCAGCTGCCAATGGGGTCAGTGTCACCATGTGTAAGGGCTTGCTTACCTTGTTTGTGTGTGCATGCTGGCAGGTGAGTGTGCACATGAGCAGATAACTGCATGTGTGTCAGTGTCACCTGCCCCAGTAACTTATTATCTCTTTGTCAGCAATTGTACCTTCATGTCAACTGCAACCTGTGACTTTTGCTTTTACTGTCCAAACTATAATCAAAAAGTAGAAAAAAACAAAAAAACATAATTTTTGATGTAATTATATTTTTTAAAAAATAATTGTAACTTTTAAATTAAATGATAAATTGCATATGGATATAAGATACTGACTAGATATTACACTAATCTCTGTTCAGTATCTAATATCCGATCTAATAATAAATATCGGAAATGTCACTTTGAAACACTTCCAAGTCCCAGAGTTCTCCGTGTCGAGGGAATGCTCTCCATCACTCCCTCTATGACCTTTTTTTCTCCTCCTCTAATAATAGGACCCTTCCCGCAAACATAATCTGAGCTACCTGGGGTCGGGGAGGTGGGGGTGGGGAGGGTATCCCCTTGTTTTAGTAGCATAACTGATCCTTTTCCTGGGAGATTAATGAAAGCAAGGCTTAAGTCTTATTGGCAGAGAAACATCCGCCACCATTACATTCAGTCACCATTTACTGATCTTTCAAAGCAAATAACTTGCATTTTAATTTGTGGGCTGAAAGGTCACCTGATGTTTATTCTATACCACATTAGCACTGGTTTGCATGAAATACTACCTAACCACTTAGCCACTTAACCTAACCAGTTGCTTTTTATTTTCTCTGCCGACATAAACACCTGACACTTTAAACGCAGCACACGTCAGGTGTTTGGAACACATATGGCCTACACAAGTGTTCCAGATTAGATCCAAATTAGTCTGCTAATTGGGCCGGGTAAATGATATAATTAGAGGGATTTAAAATACACGTACACATGATAGAACTTGCTCTTGGTGTGCCGCAAGTGCCGTTTGTGAAATAAAATATCCTATTTACTTCTGACAAGACCTGTGACAAACCTGATATTTACTGCTATTCCCACCCCTGCCTCACGCTGATATATCAAGATACGTAATTTTCTCACCCAAGTAAAAAACGCCTATGTGACTTTTCCCCAGGTGGGTCGTCTGATCATTGGACACCACGGGATAATGTCCACGCCAGCCGTCTCCTGTATGATCAGGAAATGCAAAGCCATCGGAGGCATCGTTCTCACTGCCAGCCACAACCCCGGTGGACCTGATGGAGACTTTGGCATTAAGTTTAATACTGCAAATGGAGGTATGGTAACTTGAGAGAAGAAAGCATGCAGTCGCAATGGCCAAGTGCAAAATAGTGATACAGGAGAAGTCAGGCATTTAATAAGGCCTCATTCGGATATGTGGCTCAGACACAGAGAAAATGTGATGCTTGTATTGGCACAAATCTGGGACAAAGTTCAAACACATCAAAACAACACACAATATTCAGTATCGCTATTCCTGTCAATAGAAGATTTTTCTACTGTTACAATACTGTAATTTTACACTGTCATCATAAAACCAGGCTTCTTCTGCCTCATCCAGGCCCAGCCAACGAAGCAGTCACAAACAAGATCTTTCAGATCAGCAGGACCATTGAGGAGTTTGCCACCTGCCCTGGACTACAAGTGGATCTGACAACTATGGGAAAACAGACCTTTGACCTGGAGAACAAGTTCAAGCCATTCACAGGTGAACTAGAGCATTAATGTTAGTCTCTCATTCATCATCGAAATTAATGAGCATGCGGGGGGAAAAGGGATATGAGGCTAGTTATATGACTGACCAGATATATTCTTTGCAGGTACAATTACACATATTGTCTTTTTTCTTTGTGAAAGGCGTATTGTAAGTGTATTTATGTATCTCTTTCCCTGATGATGGATAGAGTTTTGTTTCTGATTTGTGCAGTGGAAATCGTAGACTCTGTGGAGTCCTACGCTAACATGCTGAGGAACATCTTTGACTTTGCTGCTCTGAAGGAGCTTCTGTCTGGCAAGAACCACTTCAAGATAAGACTGGATGCCTTGCACGGAGGTCAGAGAAAATGCTCTCATAACTAACTCATTTATCGTATAATGTCATAGTTATATTTGTACGCAACTCCAGCAAGTTCTTTAACTCATTTGCTTATGAAGCATGATGCTATTCAAATCTATATGATTTCCATATTTCTCACATTCATGTCAGCAACGTAAAAGAGAAGCTTAACAATATTACAGAAAAATGGAGATAATAATGAGATAAATGTTTGAGGCTCTGTTCTATTCTGGGAGAGGTAACATTGGGTTGTCAGATCTGTGACTTTACTCTCATTAGATTACTAAATCTATTTTGAGCGTCCCCAAACACTGAAACAAAACGTCAGGGCTGAAGCACTGTGAGCCTCAGTTTTCTCCTTGTTGTTGTTTTAAAATACTTTGTGCAACACCAGATCTGCCTAGTTCATCTTTGTCCTCTCTCACCTGTCCGCTCTGCAGCGGTAGGACCCTACGTGAGGAGAATACTGTGTGTTGAGTTGGGTTGTCCTGCCAGTTCTGCCATTAACTGTGTCCCTAAGGAGGATTTTGGAGGTCAACACCCAGACCCTAACCCCATATACGCTACAGATCTGGTTGACAGCATGCGAGACGGACAGTATGATTTTGGTGCAGCATTTGATGCCGATGGGGTGGGCTTACCGAGTTATTATTTCTGCTTTTTACTTGTTTGTTTGGTTTTTTTCAAACATTACAAGAATATATGTAATATAAAAATGCAGTTTCAAAAGACATTTCCTTGGGCCTGAGAAACCTCTTTCTGCTTTCTAGGACCAGAACATGATCCTTGGTAAACATGGCTTCTTCGTCACCCCATCTGACTCCGTGGCTGTGATTGCTGACAACATTTTTTGCATCCCGTACTTTCAGCATGCAGGGGTGAGAGGTTTTGCTCGTACTATGCCCACAAGTGCGGCATTAGACAGGTAAACGTGTGGCCTGCTTTTCAAATATCACCATCAAAACAAACTGCCTTAGAATACTCTTTCATTGTATTTCCTTCAGAGTAGCCAAGGCAACGAAAATCGAGCTATATGAAACTCCCACTGCCTGGAAGTTCTTTGGGAACCTCATGGATGCAGGCATGCTGTCTTTGTGTGGAGAGGAAAGCTTTGGTACAGGTACTGCGTGTCCGTGCCAAGTAACTAAATCGAAGAAGACGAGGATTCTGATTCTGGGCTTTTGTTTTATGTTTTCTCAACACTGTCAACCTAATTCCACTTCACGCTTCAGGAGGAGACCATATTCGTGAGAAGGATGGGCTTTGGGCTGTGCTGGCATGGCTGTCTATCCTGGCCACCAGAAAGAAGAGTGTGGAAGATTTAGTTAAGGACCACTGGCTAAAATATGGAAGAAACTACTTCACCAGGTGAGATGTGGACACACTAAAAAAACACCGTATTATTACTGAGGTTATGTGATAAAGTTTTTTTTTATTTGTTTGCTAATTTGTTTGTTCTAAGAGGCTGAAATATAGTTAAGCAGAAATTGTGTCACTGATACAGATGAAGCTGTAACAGGTGGGTCGACGAGACATGTGAAGACACATGTAGAACATTACTGACACCTAGTGGAACATATGTGGCATTGCACTGTATGACAGAACATTTAACATGAGAATATTATTAGTAGTAATATTAGTATTAGTATTGTCTGTACTGACTCACTTTTGATTACAAAATATTCATTATCAACACAAATTAAGCCACATCACAAAACATATGTAAAATAAGGCATCAATAATCAATAATAAGTACCTGTTAGTTTATTATTTATTTATTTATGTAGCCTTTTTTTTCTCATTAGATTTTTGTTTCTACTCTTTACATTTTGCCCAGGTATGACTACGAGAATGTAGACATAGATGCAGCATGTGAAATGATGGAGGATTTGGAGATCACAATCACCGACAAGACCTTTGTGAGGCAAAGATTTGCTGTGGAAGACAAAATCTACCAGGTGGAGAAAGCAGACAGCTTTGAGTATGCAGACCCGGTAGACGGCACCATTTCCAGGAACCAGGTACATGAAAAACACTGTGGTGCATTTTTCTGTAATGATAGTCTTGCGGTATACACAGATGCATAATGTATGCGATTTGTCAGCATCAGAGCCTCTCAGCTGTGTTTGCAAACCCTAAAAAAATGTATCTCAGTCTGCGCTGGGCTGTCTTCACTGCAGGGGCTGCGGATAATCTTCTCTGATGGTTCTCGAATCATCTACAGACTCAGTGGGACCAGTTTTGATGGGGCAACAGTTCAAATCTATCTCGACAGCTACGAGAAAGAACACGTTTTTGGGGATGCACAGGTGGAGTATCTAAAAGTGAAAACTGCATTTTGACCAGAACAGGCAAAAAAGACAAACCTTTGAATCACTAAGCAGAAACTCTTTTTAAATGAAATGTAGCGCTGTGTGGTGAAAAGGAACAGTGTTACTGCTCTGTGGTTGTTTGGATGATTTTACATATAGCAGCAAGGTGCATGAGTCTCTAATTGTGCCATCCTTGTTTTGGACAGGTGATGCTGGCACCCCTTGCCACTATCGCTCTAAAGATTTCTCAGCTTCATCACAGGACCGGTCGAACTGGTCCGTCTGTCATTATATGATTCCTTATTAATTGACAAAATAACGCTCTTTTGTAAGTTTTTCCATCCTGTTTTTTTGTGTTTGTGTTTGTTTTTTATAAAGGAAGTCTCAAATCCAGTTGTAGCTACATATGATGCAAAAGTGTGCAGTTGAATGAAATTAAATGTGATATATTAAACAGCGTTTTTGTTTTTGGTTCGGTTGTGGCATGCTTTGGTGCTTTTTTATGGCAGATGATATTACATCTACTTTACTTTGTTTCAATTTTGCTTTTGTTAACTGTCATTTTCATTCTCACCAGTGAGGCCCTGGCTAAAATCTGCAAGATTACAGAAAGGTCAGCGTTTTTAGTAAAAAAAAATTGAACCTATTTGAGCATAATGTTTTCATAAAGTAGCACTTTCACTTCCTCAGTGAAACTCTTTAAAAAACAGCATCAGCACTGTCTCTTTTTAAAAAATCTTTTTCTTTTTGTACCAGTTATTACTGAAGACTACTTGACATGTGCAGTTGAGAAACTTAGAACATGACAGCAGCAGGTGCTGAGTTTAAAAAGAAGGAACGGGCTGTTTCCTGTCGTTAATCCTCTAAAACCGTCATTTGGATCATGCGTACCCCTTAATTTAGGGGAATAATAACCTGAAATTGAAGTTGAGTGCGTGGGTGGGTGCTTGAGAGTGAGTGACGGCTTTCCAGCTCGTTTGACTCTGTTGAGTCTGAAAATGACAAAAAGCAACAAGTCAGCATTTAAAGACTGCTCCCAAGAAAACATCTTCTAAAGATCTTTTAGTTTCACTGTGACAAGGGTCCTCTTTTTTTTCTTTTTTTCTTCTTTTACTTCACTATCTGTAAGTACAACTTGTGCTGATACCTTTTTAGCACACCAACAAAGCAAAAACAACAAAGGAAACTTTTAAACTGCAAGAAAATATTTTTTCAAATAGCTTATCCATATCTGGTGAGTGCACCACATAATTTCCATCTGGACGGCAACAGCACAAGTCCACAAACATCTGCCCCAGCTCTGTGATCACTCATGCCCTTTGAAGTACTGTCCCTTTCTGTCTGGTTTCATCTCCATAATGCACTGAACCTGAAGGGGAACAACAACACAACAAGGGGAAGGCCAGCTGTGGTTCATCTCAGGCCCGTCGTGGTGTGAGTTTTGGTTCCACTAAAAATTTCAGTCTAAGATTGCACAAGTTTACATGCATAGTTACTCTGTGATCAGGATCTGTCCGTCAATAACACAATATTATATTACAGACTGCAAATGGAGGAGGAACTTAACTAAGGAGGACACAAAAGTCAAGTATTTATGAATGATAAACCTAATGTCAGTAAACAAAATCAAAACCTATTTACATGCATAGTATAAAGGTGCCTAAGAAGCACTAAAAGGTATTTTCATGCCTTTTGTAGATAAGTAAATCCATAACATGGATAAATATATTGGCTCCTCTGGTGTCTCCACACCAATGCTATTGTAATCTGCAAATCTAGTAATGCCCAACATTGTTGGATGTGAGCATGTATAGGGCCAGAGTACAGAACCTGTACCCGGATATATTATTTGTAAATATAGTGCCTTCATAGTTTCATATTGTTCTTGCAGATTTTAAAGTATGAATCTAATATATGCTGAACTGGACTCCATTGGGGTAACAGTACTGGGCAGCTTGATTGGCATGCCCCCAGAGAACACCAGAACTGACTGGTCTGCCACTGGTGCCCTGTTTGCTTCACAGATGATGTTACAAGCATCACAAGGTTTGTCCTGCCATCTCCAGACTCTTTCACACCTGTCACATGTGCTCAGCATGAACCTGCTCTCATTTGGGTGACAGTGATGGACCTGGCAGATCTGTTGTTCTCAGGCAAAGACCGGCTGCATGGTGCTGAGCTGTGAACACAGGTCCCACTAAAGGATGCTGGGGCCTCATACCGTGCTCATGGAGTCTGTTTTTGACAGTTTGGTCAGAAACATGCACATGAGTAGCCTGCTGCAGGTCATTTTATAAGGCTCTGGCAGTGCTCCTGCAGTTTTTCCTCACGCAAAGGAGCAGAAACCAGTCCTGCTGATGGGTTTATGCCATTATACGGGCCTATCCAACTCTCCTTGTGTCACAGCATGGCATCTTATCCACACGCTCTGTTGGGAGATGTAGCAAACCGACTTGCGAAACCACCTACAGACAGTGACAAGAAAACAGATTAAAAAGCAAAACTACAGAAAAATCAGTCAGAAGGGAAGAGGGCAGGGCTGCGGTCTTTGGCCACTACCTGCAAAACCAGACCCTTTTTGCTGGGATTGCTTTCTTATTGCCTCACTAGTGTACCTGCACAAACAAAGGGGAATGGACTCAGTGCTTTATAACGTTTTTAACTTTTTATTTCTTGTACTGTGATGATCACATGTTCCCTTTTTTTTCAAGCAGTGTATTATACTATATTATTGTGGATAAAGCTCCCCAGCTGTACAGAAGCTGCTGTTCCAGCTCCAGCTGTAAGATTATAGTGACATATGCCATAATAAATCAGTAGTTACAATCCAGCAATATAATTCTGAATAATGTTTAGCTAATTTATAATACTGAAACTTTAGTTCTATTACTTAAGTAGGGTCATGACTTTTACTCAAGTAATAGTAGTTGTTATTCAATAAGGAAAAACTACAAGAAAGTATCTCTTGGGTAAGATAAATAGTCATAAATAATAATAATAATAATAATGATAGACTTGATATACATTTAAAATGTAGGGAAAATTAAGGTAACAAACAATTAAAACACTTGAGTAACGAATAAGTAATGTAGTCTGTATTACTGCAGCAGCTTATATTGTAACACAACACGCAGACGTGTAAAGCCCCCTGGAAGCACGCGCTAAATCCTCTCGTGCTCGTCATTGAGAGACTACGTCACCAGCTAGGACTGTTTGGGTCAACCTTGGTGAATGGTGTGAGGTGAAACTTTTTGCCTGTCAAGATTACAGTATATCGGTAAAGAAGTTCAAGCCCCAGCTAGCCGCAGAGCTACTGTAGCTTTAAGGAGGTCACCTGATGCAAAGAAAGGAAAACCCGACCGAGGAAGCAGGAAGTTCCTGTACGACGACATCGAGCCCGAGCACGTAAACAGTGCACAAAGAGCAGAAATAAACACAAAGAGGGGGTTTTCAGACGTTGACCGCAATGGCAGGCATTAAAGGTATTTTTTAATTTTGGCTCTGCTGGGTCAGCCGAGAGTTGAGTGTTAAAGTTTTTGAAGTTAAAAGTTTGTAAGCTGAGTTTTCCATACTGGTCTAAACGTTTGCTGTATCATCTCGAAACTCGCGTCTCTGTCGCAGGTCATTAAGATCTGTTGCCAGATAAGTTATTAACCTGTTGATTTATGCATTAGAGTTGTTGCTATTATCTAGTGTATCCTAACTCTTAGCTCTGCCACGAGTGCTCCACGCCTACCGTGTATTTGTTTTATATTTTGGCCAAAAACAACTGTGATTAATGTAGAGTTATTGATGTCTCGTTTTAGCACTGGTTGGTTTGTCCTTTAGTGGTGCTATTGGACTGACATTTCTTCTGCTGGGCTGTGCAATAGAAACGTATGGGTAAGTTCTCCTTGTAAACGTATCAGCAGCTATACGTGCTATTTTATGACACTGACTTACATTATTACAGAAATAACTGAGTTTTGGTTGTGCTCTGAACAACATCATTCGCTCTGCAGTTACATTGTGTGACTTTTGATTGGAGACAAAAGAAAAAGGCCAGATCAATGCAGTCAAGGCCTGTATTTATAGTCCTTATAGTCCTCTTGTTGGTCAAACTCCAGGAATGCCAGTTTCTGATGTGACTGAAGTTACTACTTCAAAACTGGAAATCACCCTAAGAGCCCCAGAACATTTTTCTGTAACTGGTTTCACAGTTTTAGAACTCCTAATGACGAGTAAACTGAACTTCAGGTGTGCTAAGATGTTCCATTCTTTTGAAGACGAGTGTTTCATGCCCTTTGTAAATATTTTTGACAATTTCATCTGTTTTTGCAGGGTCTACTGGCCGATGTTTGTCCTGATTTTCTACGTATTAAGTCCCATCCCGACCTTCATATCCAGACGCCTCAGTGACGACTCTGAATCCAGCAATGCCTGCAGAGAGCTGGCCTATTTCTTAACAACTGGCATTGTGGTATCATCGTTTGGACTACCCATTGTTTTGGCCCGTACCAACACCGTGAGTTCTCTTTACTTATTTAGTTTCAGATCATACTAAATGAGCGTAAATTCATCTGTGCGTACAAGTAGTGCATGTGCAGTGAAAACAAAATTACAGTGGAAATCTAATGGGCCATTTCTGTCGTCCAGATCAAGTGGGGTGCCTGTGGATTGGTGATGACCGGAAACGCCGTCATCTTTCTCACCATCTTAGGCTTTTTTATCGTGTTTGGAGGCGGGGATGACTGGAGCTGGGAGCAGTGGTAAAGTGCCGTTGGAAAGTGGACACACAGATGGGCGGGTGGGTGGGTAGGTGGATCGTTGAACGAACAGACTGCAGACTGAGGGGCACATGTGTCCTGCACTCAATGGGGGATGAAGCTATAGTGTAGGCAGCAAAATGTCAAATGAAACCAGCGTGTTGTCATGCTGATTTTTATACTGGGGTGGGGATTAGGTTTGGAGATAACTGTGTGCCCTGTAATGTGCCTTACGTCTGGGACCAGGGAGAAATGAATGTCTGTACCCCTCTTATGTGCCATCAATATCCACATTAACACATATATGATTATTTTCTTCGTCTTGCCTTTGTTTCAGTTGCTGAATCACCCTGCTCACTGCAGCTATTATGCCTCAGTTAATCAATATCCTAAAGGGATCCTAAATAATAACTATTGTAATGTATACTGCAAAGCTTATACTGCATCATCTGCCTCATTGTTTAAGGGAGGAGTTATAGCTTGCTTATTATTATGAGCACTCTTTGCTAGTACAGAGCAAGTTATAGGACTCTTAATCAGGTGAATATATATTTGTGTTAAGTATGTTGTTTTGCTTTTGTTTTTGTTTGTGTGTTTCATTCCTCAAGCATTTTATTTTTTGTGTTCTGGTGCAATTGTTTACATTTTCACCAAAGATAATTTCTAGACTGCAATTCTACTGGAGCATATTCACCACTAAACTATATTT